ATGATGTCAACCCCAATGCCGACCTCCTCTCCACCAGGTACGTCTCTCTCTTCACCCTCACTCTCCCTTGTTATCCCACACAGCGCCCTTCACCTCCGAAGAACCACCTTCGCCCTTCACCTTCTCTGCGCCCACAGGCAGCCAGGCTATGGCCGCCAGCGCCCTGTGCCCAGGCGGCACTCTACCGCTTAGCGCCAGCCTGCCCTCCCTCAGCCTAACGCAGCGCAGGCACACTCGCAATGCAGCAGCGTGCCGGCCTTGCTCGCAATGGCCAAGATCCCTGCCCACTCGCCCTCCATGCCTATATGCCAGTGTTGAGTGTGGGCGGCCTCCCTTGAGCCTGCGCCTGGGCCCCAGTACCTGTACCCAGGCCCAATGCGGTTGGGGCCCAGGAGATGTAGTTGCGCCCCTTTCATCAAGGCCTGCGGCCAGATTCCGAGAGTGGACCGGTTTCCCATTGGCATTTTCGGCCTCTATATCCAGCATGCATTGTCGGCCTCACGTTTATGTGCCCAGGGCCGAACCAATTCTGGGGCCCTGGGATTTCTGCATTTGCAGAGATCCGATACTCGGTGCACTCCAACCAACTGGCGTGCGACAACTGTATGGACCCCACTTCGTGACATGTTTGAACAAAGGGCTCTCGTTGATTTGCTGGCCCGCCTTCACTTAGGGCGGGCACGAGGCTTGCTGGGGGCCTTAACCCAAAACATGTACGTCACGACAAGACCCCTTTGATGGCTCAATCCTCACAGAAGATTCATTTTAATTTTGCACATTTCGTGAGTAGTGCAGCCAAGCCCTAAGAGTCACGTGCAGAGACCAACAGGGCCTAGCTACGTGAGCAACCCATAACTGCTGAAACACAGACCTGAATTCGAATCTTGAGTATATATTCGGCCAGCTCGTGCTCTACTTCATATTCACTGCCTGCCTCAATTTTGGTGGGGGGTCTGCGCTACATGGCTTTGAGGACCCTTCAGATAGCCTGCATGGGTCGTCTGAGCCATAGTAAGGGGATCCGTTCTTCTCTCTCTCGCCCCCCCTTGTATACACACACCCCTTACAAAAAAAAAAAAAAAAAAAAAAGGG